CACGCGCTACCATGCCCGGCTGATTTTTTTATTTATTGTAGAGATGAGGTCTCGCTGCCCAGGCGGGTCTTGAACCCGCGGGCTCAGGCCATCCACTCACCTCAGCCTCCCAAAGGCGCGGGATGACAGGCTGAGTCACCGAGCCCAGCTACCCATTTGTTTCAGCTCACACAACCGGAAGAAGGCAGAGCCGGGATGCAGACCCAGGCAGACTGGCTCCAGCACCCATGCCTGCAATGACATGTTGTGCTGCTTGCCAGAAAGAAAATTCGAGAGCAAGAGTCTGACAGACATTGACTTGGGCTTTTCAGAATGTGACTGGGGGATGGTATGTCTGTTTTTTTTTTTTTTAAAGCGATTTGAGGAAAGTCAAGGCCGGACCAGCAGCAAAACAGCCTTTTACCAGGCGTTGCAGAACTCCCTCGGCGGCGAGGACGGGGATGCCCGCGTGGAGGCGGCAGCTACGTGGTATTACTCGCTGGAGCACGCCACAGACGACTACGCCTCCTTCTCCCGGGCTCTGGAGAATGCCACCCGGTGAGTCGGGCCGCAGAGGGCGTGATGCCTGCTGCCACGTTTTGGGGGCATATCGGCTGATGTCCAGGTCACGAGTGAGAAAGGAGGGCGTGAGACTCTGCACATCGTTCATTCAGTCGACAGCGTAAGGGGTTCTCCCTGCCCGAGGGACAGCTCTGGGGACGTGTGGGGTGAACCCTGTGACCAGGGAAGCCCAGGTCTGTGGGCGGAACAAGGGGCAGCCTGACTTCCTAGGCAAAGGTGCCCGCTGAGTGCTTCCTTGGAAGCAGCCACTCAGCAAACACTCACCCACGGCCTTCTGGTGTCCCCGAACCCAGCACCCCCAGCCCTATGTGTGGGCGGGTGATGCCCAGGGCCCATGGACATTTGCACTTTTAAAATCCCCTCTCCCAGGCTGATTCTAAGGTGCAGCCTGGATTTGCCTCACGCATGGGAAGCGGAGGCCTGGCAGGAAAGTTTTGTGTTTGATGCCACATCCAAGCAGGATGGGCCCAGGCTCCAATGGCCGTGTCCTCTCCCTGGGGGTGCTGTCTCTTGGGCTCACTGCTTAGGCACCCATCCTCATTCATGGCTCAAGATTCTCTCACTCGGGGAAGCCTGCTGGGACCCCCACCCAAAGATGACTAACAGTGCCCCCTCCCCAGGCTCTGCTGTCCCCATTGTTCCTCTCTCACAGCTCTGACACAACCACCCCCCATGGTGGTCAGGACTGGCCTGTCTCCCCCTCCCCAACGTGGCCTAGCTCACTGGGGCCCAGAGCTGTGTTTTATAGGCGCGCACAGCAGGTGCTTGGGAAATGAACCAGGACCCCAGCTCACCCTTCCTCTAGAGGCCCCTGGGGATGGGGCCATGGTGGCCACTTGGCTCTCTGGCCACCCTGGCGTCCCTTGTAGGTCCCTAGCATGTCCTCAGTGATCCCTGCAGGACTCTCCCTCCCAGTGGAAGGATGTGGCCAGGTGGGCAGCTCTGGCAGGCTGTGCCCTCATTCCTCTCTCCCTTGGGAGGGCCACGCAGCTTTTGCTTCTTGTCCACGGGGACAGAGCCAATGTTAAGTCTCAGCGGCCTTTGCTGAACTTGGCTCCTGGGACGGGCCAGGCTGGAGGGTGTTGGAGACCCACGGCCTTGCTGTCTCTCCACCCAGGAGTCTGTGGTTCCCCATCTGAGGGTCACTAGCTCAGAATAAAACCTCGTCCCACCCACTTGGATCTTAAGGGCCAGAAAAGCTCTAATTTTCCCTCTCGTGGAGAGCTCCACCTTGAACCAAATAGCCAACGGCTATTCCTGGAGGGCCTGCACTGTGCTGGACCGTGGGAACTCATAGATGTCCAGTTCCTGACCCTTGAGAGCCTTATAATCAAATCAGGACTGGCCCAGTTCGTGTTGTAGGCAGAGCTCAGGGACAGAGTTCCAAAAACCTGGGTTCTTGCTTCAACTTGGCCTTACCTGACTTTAAGGGCTTTAGGACAGCCTGGGCACCTGGGTGAGAGCTGAGGTCTGAGGGAAGGTGGCATAACCAAGGGAGGCTTCACTGAGGAGGCAGACACCAGTTCTTCCTTAGCTCATTCTCTTCTGGACAGTCTCGGCCCTGGCCTCTCAGGCCTCCCTGCCTCCAATGTGCTCGGCAGTGTTGCCCCCCAAGCCTGCTAGTATGTGACTCTTCCTGTAGGCCTTATCCCGTCCCTGTCTGCTCACAGCACCTCAAGGGAGTCACAAGAGGAAACACAGCTGACTTCATCTGTCCCTCAAGGCCCCCACAGTGGACCTCACCTGACCCAAGAGCCTCACCTGTGAACATACAAGCACCCTACAGATTCACCCGTGGTTTCCATCTAAATGGCCGGAAAAAAGGGTGTGCCACCCCCTTATTGAGGGGATTCCAAGGGTGTTATTAGACTTGGCCAGTATAGAATCTCTGCAGAGAAATGGGGGCCAGGGTAGGAACCATTCCATTTCCCAGCTGGGAAGACAGTGATTCAAGAGTATCTCCCCTTTGGTCCACAATGCAGTGGAATTCAAAACCTGGGGGCCCAAGGTCAGAGGGGTCTGTCTGACCCTCCCTCTGTCTGCTCCTCTCTAAGTAGGTAGGGATCCCACTGTCATAAACTCTTTGTATCACTCCCAAAGGAAGAACAAATATGAAAGCTTGGGAGTGAGGCCAGGTTTCTTGGCCTTCTCACTCTGGACTTTTAGGATGGGGTCCTTCTTCGTGGTGTGGCTGTCCTGCATGTCTTAGGGTGTCTAGCAGTATTCTGCCCCCTATACACTAGAAGCCAATCCAACCCCTTCCACCTCCAGTTGTAACAACCAAGAGTGTCTCCAGAAACTGCCAAATGTCCCCCAGTGGGTGGAAGGGTGGAGAGTGGCAAAATCCCCCAACTGGTCTAAGGGTGTCTTGTGCATGAACTGTCTTTGAGGGCTCTATTTTCTTTTAAAAATGCACACCTTAGCTGGGCTTGGTGGCTCAGCCTGTAATCCTGCGCCTTTGGGAGGCTGAGGTGAGTGGATTGCCTGAGCCCGCGGGTTCGAGACCTGCCTGGGCAGGCGAGACCTCATCTCTACAATAAATCAAAAAATTAGCCGGGCATGGTAGCGTGTGACTATAATTCCGGCTACTTGGAAGGCTGAGGCGGAAGGATAGCCAGAGCCCAGCAGGTCGAGGCTGCGGTGGCCGGGAGCGGCCACTGCACTCCAGTCTGGGCGACAGAGTGAGACTCCAACTCAAAAAAAAATGCACACCTGGCCAGGTGCGGTAGCTCACACCTGTAATCCCAGCACTTTGGGAGGCCACGGTGGGAGGATCGCTTGAGCCCAGGAGTTCTAGACCAGCCTGGGCAAATGTCCAGACCTCATCTCTACAAAAAATTTTTTTAAAAAGTAGCCGGGCTTGATGGCATGCACCTATAGTCTCAGCTAATTGGGAGTCTGGGGTGGAAGGATCTCTTGAGCCCAGGGGGTTGAGGTGACTGTGAGCTGTGATCATGCTACTGCACCCCAGCGTGGGCAACAGAGTGAGACCTCAATTCAAAAAAATAATAAATACAATAAAACGCACGCTTTATGTTCTGCTTCTTGGGATGTTGCATTCATTTTCCTGTAAAATGCTTTGCTCCCAAATCGTTATGTGAAATTGATGTTCTGAAAAGATACTTTTCTTGGAGACGCAGTGCCATGGATGCCGGCTCTCAGTCACAGCCTGCCACCCACCCGAAGGGACCCATGTGCTGGGACTGCGTGTCGTGCTCCTGCCCTTCCACCAATGTGTCCAGGGAGATGCTTGGAGAGGCTCACTGGGGAATGGGAGGAAGGAGTTCTCTCCAGGCCTGGGGCCGGGCTGAGGGGGCCGCCTAGGAGAAGCACTTGCCAGACACAGTTGCCCATAATCTACCTGTGACCAGACTCCCGTCGTGTCCCCCTTCCCCAGAGACTACTTCATCACCTGCCCTGTGATCGACCTGGCCAGCGTCTGGGCAAAGAAGGCCCGAGGAAATGTCTTCCTGTACCACGCTCCCGAAAGCTACAGCCATGGCGGGTAAGGGTGCTGTGTGATCACAGCAGGCGTCGGCCAAGAAGGCATTCTGGTAGAAGTCCCTGTCACTGCTGTGATCCTTGGGGAAGTGGGGGAGGGGTAGAACCGAAGGACACCTCCTGACGCAAGGACATGCGGCACACTGTGTAACCTCTCTAAGCCTCAGTTTCATCATCTGAGAAATGGGAATAATTGTAGTAACCCCTTCATCTCACAGGATAGTAGGCAGGGAAAATAAAAGATGTGGGAGGTTTTGAAAACGATGACAACACGCTTAGGAATTGCGATATTCGTGATTAATGGATAAACTTGGCTTAGGGAGGAGGCCCTTTCATTCTTTCTCCATATTTATTCCTCTAGAAACTGAGTATTCATGTAAGAAAATGACTTTTCAAAACATAAAAAGGGTTTTGGGGTTCGGGGGGTTTGGTCAAAGGAAAGTTTTTTTCACTCCCGCTGTGTGTACTATTGTTACTTGCAGAATAGGTTCAAGCTACCTTATAATAAAAATTTCAGGTGTGATGGAATCACCAAAAAGGAGAAGAGAAATAAGAGATTTAAGAGAAAGAAATCAGCAATACGGGAAGGGAGACGTGAGCACAGAGTTTAGCATGGAGTGTTCCAGAAGCCAAGGAAAAGATTTTAAAAAGAAGAAGAAGAGAAGAAAGGCTTGGAAACCAAGACAGTCCTCAAGACATTCCGATTTCTCTAAGCACCCATTCGAGACTTGGTGTCCCCAAGTAGATGATTTAATCTTAATAGCAATCCAAGCAAACTTCCAGGGTTCTTGTCAGCCCCACTAGCTGAAGAAAGGAGGCAGAAAGACTGAGTGATGGGGACAAATGTGGTCTCTGCTGCAGGTCAGAGATCCATGCCAGGAGGGCAGCAGGGGACATGGGTGACTGGGGCTTTGTGGGGAGGGCTGTGGGACCGCTTGTTCCACTTCCTGTGACCTCACAGTCCTGAGCACTCACCCATGTGGGAAACCCTTCCCCTTGGGGTGGCATGAAATTACATCAGATCAGCCTCTTCACACTGAAGCCCCTTTGGAAGACCTTATGCTCCTTCAAAGGCAAGAAAGTCGTCATGTCCTCAGGCTTAGTCTCTAGTAAGCATTCATGGGTATCAGATCAGCAGAGGATGTGTCTTCATGAGATGAAAGAGTATTTTATTTTATTTTATTTTATTTTAGACAAGTTCTTACCCTTGCCCAGGCTGGAGTACAGTGGCGTGATCATGACTCAAGTAATCCTCACACCTCAGTCCCCCAAGTAGCTGAAACTACAGGTACCCAACACGACATTCAGCTAATTTTTGATTTTTCTGTAGAGACAAGGTCTCACTATGTCATATGTTGCCCAGGCTGGTCTCGAACTCCTGGGCTCAAGTGATTTTCCCACCTTGGCCTCCCAAAGTGCTAGGATCACAAATGTGCGCCATCATGCCCAGCCTGATGCTTTGTTTTATATAAGAATGGAAGCAAGCCTTGCCATTTGAGGTCAAGGGCATTAATCACCCATGCCAATGTCTGTTGTATGGGCAGCAGGAAGATGAGGTCATGACCACAGCTTTAGAGGTGAAGGTCTGGCCCTCAGAGGAGTATAAAGTCATCCAGAGGCACTTCAATGTCAAGAGGCTGATTTGATGAGGTTTCACGTGGGAAGCCACAGCCTCATGGGGAAGGTTTTCCCACACAGGTAAGGGCAAGTAGATCAAGTGGCCCCACCGAAGGCTATCAGTTGTGCTGTCTTGGACAGGTTCCTTTGCCTCTCTGATCCCCAGTGTCCTCATCTAGCAAAGGAAGTACGTAGTTTTTCCTCTCAAAGTAGGCAAGAACAATACCTGAAACATAGATCTGCCAGCCCTTAACCGGGTTTTAACCAGTGTCACTTTGCAAGGCATCAAGGGAAGTCTTATAAACAACCATCATTTATCATTATCATTAGCAGTGACCCTAGAGCAGGTAGACTAATGGCCACCGACAGATATAAAGACATCACTTGTTCTACTTTTTACCTAAAGAAATCCCTGGAATCTGTTCATGTGGCCTTATGAGAAAAAAAGAGTCTGGGCAGATGTGATTAAGTTAACAATCTTGCCATGGAAAGATGATCCTGGATTACCCTGGCTGGGTGGGTCCCAGATGCAATGGCAAGGATCCTTATGAGAGGCAGAGGGAGACACGCTTTATGTAGAAGAGAGAAGACCTGTGTGGCTGTGGAGGTGGAGGCTGGGCTGACAAGGCCACAAAGTAAGGAAGACCAGCCACAGCCAGAAGGTGGAAGAGCCTTCAGAAGGACTGTGGCCTCATGGACACCTGGATTTTGTCTCAGTTAAACTGATATCTGACTTCTAGCCTCCAGAACTGTGAGAGATAAATTTCTTTTTTTTTTTACTTTGCAAACTTATAAGTGTTTATTCAGCAAGATTAAATGTAATCTAAAAGTAGCACTTCTCCACCCAAGAAATCGCTGAGATTTGCATGTTCGGAGGCCCTTGAAATGCAAATCCAACATCTTCATCAGCACCATTTTTCAACCTTTTGATTTCTTTTTAAAGACATTTCTGTTGTCTTACGACTTCACGTTTGTGGTCATTTGTTACAACAAGTTAAAGGAAACTAATACAGTCCTCAAGGCATCCAGATTTCCCCTAAACATTCATTACGGACTTGGTATTCCCAAGCAGATGGTGTAATTTTTATAGCAATCCACATAAACAACCAGAACCCTTGTGGGACTGGCAGAGTTGAAATGGTCAGACTCATCCCACAGATGATGAGTGCCTCAGTGCATTCGGACTGCTGTCACGAAACGTCATAGATGGGGTGATTTATGAACAGCATAGATTTCTTGCTCACAGGTCTAAAGACTGAAAATTCAAGATGGAGGCATGAGCAGGTTTGGTGTCTTGTGAGGGCTCGCTCTCTGCATCATAGATGGTGCCGTCTTGCTGTGCCTTCTACACGGTGGGGGAGGCAGGGGGTCTCTTTCAAGTCTCTTTCATAAGGGGACTAATTCCATGTGTGAGGGCTTCACCCTCATGACCCAATCACCTCCCCAAGCCATCACTTCTTAAATACCATCACATCAGGGATTCGACTTTTGAGGGGCCACGAACATTTAGACCAGAGCCAGGAGCCTCATGTCCCAGGAATACGACACAATTCCCTGCAGTCCCAGAGCAACGACCAGCCCAAGAACTCTGCACTAAAACATCTGGTCTCTCTGCTTAGAACTATGCATAATTTCAACCTAATCTACCTCCTGGATGCGAACAACTGTCTCAGGTTATAAGAAGGCACTTAAATGGCAGGCCAAGATTCTGGGAAGGAGGTGTGCGGAGAGATGGAATGATGGAGAGCCGTTGGGTTTGGGCAGAGATGAAGGTGTTCTCATAAGCCAGTGGGCTGTGGCTACCCACCGCCAGGGAGGCCAAGCATGGGGGGCGTTCTGAGAACCAACCTTGGCTACCTCGCCCTGTGCCTGGGCTCTCAAGAATACACTTCCAGTGCACGGGCTCTTTTGTCTAGTTCTCTGCCCATCTCCCTTTTAAGGCAGAGATTCTAATGCAAGGTCTCATTCCCCTGCAGCAAGTTCCATGCATGAAAACCCTGATGAATGGGCAGAGGGCTTTGGACCCTCAAATTGACAATGACAAAAAATAAGAGCTGTATCTTCTACATGGGGGCAAAAACAATCAAAGCAAAACAACACGAAAGTACTCTGTCTTCTTCTCTCTGTCTCTGTCTTTATCTCTCTCCATCTCTCTCTCTCTCTCTCCATTTCTCTCTGTGTCTGTCTCTCTGTCTCTCCTGTGGCTTCAGCCAGATGCCCCAGTAATGGGCCTCACCTGGGTCAGTTTTGAAGGCTGCCATGACCAAGTGCCACAAACCGGTGACTCAGAGCCACAGAAATGCATCGTTCAAGCTCTGGGAGCTGGAAGTTCCCAGGATGTCGGCAGGGTTGTGATACCTCCGAAAGCACCAGGGAAGGGTGTGTCCCGGCCTCTCCTCTGGCTTCAGGTGGCCTCAGATGTCTCCTGCTCACAGATGACCATCTTCACTGATGCTTGATGATCTTCACTGATGACAGTGCCTCGCATTGTCTTCCTTGTGCAGGGCTGACTCTGGGTCCAAGTGTCCCCCTTTATAAGGACACCTGTCATGGGTTGGTGAGGGCCCACCCCAGAGACCTTATTTTCACTTGATGTCCTCTGTAAAGATCCGATCTTAACAAATGGTCCCACTCTGGGCTACTGGGGTCAGGATTCTGACATATCTTTGTGAGGGGAACACAGGTCAACCCATAACACTACCCTCGCTCTTAAATAACAGAGCCCAGCCAAGCAGGTCCCTGTGGGAAGGACCCAAGGCCATCTGTTCTGGACTTGGCATTGGGGTGGTCCCCAGAGGAGCAGTCCTTGAGCAGAATGGAGTTTCAGCCTCAGTTTCCCATGGCCAATGTGGGCTTGTCTGTTTCTGAATGGTGTCCTCATGTCCCTGCAGACGGGGCTGCACTGCACCGGTCCAGGGAATGTCCCTGAAATAAAGCCATATTCACACATAGACCCTCACAAGTTCTGCATGAGTCTTCATGACTCATGACTCCTCAGAGGCCAGGACCCTCTTGGAACAGATGCAGACTTAGACGCTCAGGAAATTATGCAGAAGGACAGAAGCCAATCCAACCACCTCATCTGACAGGTGGGGAATGCATCCTTTCCAAGTTAGTTTTTAGACTCTCTGGGGCTCGATTTTGCCATCTGTAAAATGGGGCTACGGAGGTGGGAGCGGTCCAAAGTCCTGATTCTTCACTGGCCTCTGAGTCCCGGGCCCCTGTGAGGCAAAGAGAGAGGTGGGACGTCTCGTCCTGCCCGTTCCTTTCTATCTCATAGACTGAGCTTTGCGTGACACTGAAAGGTTATGTGGTTTAGAAAGTGAAAGCCCGCTGGGCTCAGCCATCTTTAAGGCATCTCCTGCGTCTCAGGTTCTGGTTTAGGAT